AAATCCCATGTTGACTTGCTACCCAACGAAAATCCCATGTTGACTTGCTGGGACTTTGCAGATTTCTTCTGGGAGTTTCAGTTGTCTATCACCGACCCAGCAAAAATCCCATGTTGACTTGCTGGGACTTTGCAGATTTCCTAAGGGAATTTCAGTTGTCTATCACCGACCCAACAAAAATCCCATGTTGACTTGCTGGGACTTTGCAGATTTCTTCTGGGAATTTCAGTTGTCTATCACCGACCCAACGAAAATCCCATGTTGACTTGCTGGGACTTTGCAGATTTCCTATGGGAATTTCAGTTATCTATCACCAACCCAACAAAAATCCCATGTTGACTTGCTACCCAACGAAAATCCCATGTTGACTTGCTGGGACTTTGCAGATTTCTTCTGGGAATTTCAGTTGTCTATCACCGACCCAACGAAAATCCCATGTTGCCTTGCTGGGACTTTGCAGATTTCCTAAGGGAATTTAAGTTATCTATCACCGACCCAACAAAAATCCCATGTTGACTTGCTACCCAACAAAAATCCCATGTTGACTTGCTGGGACTTTGCAGATTTCTTCTGGGAATTTCAGTTGTCTATCACCGACCCAACGAAAATCCCATGTTGCCTTGCTGGGACTTTGCACATTTCCTAAGGGAATTTAAGTTATCTATCACCGACCCAACGAAAATCCCATGTTGACTTGCTAGGACTTTGCAGATGTCCAATGGGAATTTCAGTTATCTATCACCAACCCAACAAAAATCCCATGTTGACTTGCTACCCAACGAAAATCCCATGTTGACTTGCTGGGACTTTGCAGATTTCTTCTGGGAATTTCAGTTGTCTATCACCGACCCAACGAAAATCCCATGTTGCCTTGCTGGGACTTTGCAGATTTCCTAAGGGAATTTAAGTTATCTATCACCGACCCAACAAAAATCCCATGTTGACTTGCTACCCAACAAAATCCCATGTTGACTTGCTGGGACTTTGCAGATTTCTGGGAATTTCAGTTGTCTATCACCGACCCAACGAAAATCCCATGTTGCCTTGCTGGGACTTTGCAGATTTCCTAAGGGAATTTAAGTTATCTATCACCGACCCAACGAAAATCCCATGTTGACTTGCTGGGACTTTGCAGATGTCCAATGGGAATTTCAGTTATCTATCACCGACCCAACGAAAATCCCATGTTGCCTTGCTGGGACTTTGCAGATTTCCTAAGGGAATTTCAGTTGTCTATCACCGACCCAACAAAAATCCCATGTTGACTTGCTGGGACTTTGCAGATTTCTTCTGGGAATTTCAGTTGTCTATCACCGACCCAACGAAAATCCCATGTTGACTTGCTGGGACTTTGCAGATTTCCTATGGGAATTTCAGTTATCTATCACCAACCCAACAAAAATCCCATGTTGACTTGCTACCCAACGAAAATCCCATGTTGACTTGCTGGGACTTTGCAGATTGCCTATGGGAATTTCAGTTGTCTATCACCGACCCAACGAAAATCCCATGTTGACTTGCTGGTACTTTGCAGATTTCCTATGGGAATTTCAGTTGTCTATCACCGACCCAACGAAAATCCCATGTTGACTTGCTGGGACTTTGCAGATTTCCTATGGGAATTTCAGTTATCTATCACCGACCCAACGAAAATCCCATGTTGACTTGCTGGGACCTTGCAGATTTTCTATTGGAATTTCAGTTGTCTATCACCGACCCAACGAAAATCCCATGTTGCCTTGCTGGGACTTTGCAGTTTTTGTAAGCGAATTTTGATTATCCATCACCGGACCTAACAACATCCCATGCTGCCTTGCTGGGACTTTGCAACCAAACCCTCCATTTGCTAAATTATGAATATGTGTTTATTTCCCCTTGTTGGTCTTAAACAGAATTCATCACTACTGGACATATGTTTTCTTGTTTCCTGGGCCTTAACCAAATGGAAGATATTTCTTTGGAAATTTGCAGACATCTCTTGCTGCTTGGTTTTCGGGTTTCCTGTGATGATCAATGTGGCATTTCTTCATTTTTCCCGGGGGCCGTAAAACCGAACTTTGTCGGTCTTTTTAGGAATTCAGCACTACTGTCTCATTTTTTCCGGGGGGCCGTAACACCAATTGGAAGAAACCCCAACCCACTCCCCGTCAGGTGCAGAAGACGGTGCACGCGCTCCTCCGCACCAAGTCCCGGGCACCGACTCCCAGAGTTGTTTTCAGCGGCCGAGTTCGGCTCCGCGAAGCTTTCAGAGGTCGGGACCGCGGTGTTTTTTCTGACGACCAGATTGCTGGAATTTTCGGGTAAAACCTCCCAACAAGGAGGCAAGCAACTCCAAATCCGTGAGCCATCGTGAAATTCCTGAGCGAAACCAACAAACAAGGGGGAAAACGACTCCAAATCCGATTGAAGTTAGCATTTTCGGACCAAAATCGTGAAATTCCTGGGCAAAACCACCCAACAAGGGGGAAAACAACTCTAAATCCATTAGAAGTTAGCATTTTGGGAGCAACATCGTGAATTTCCTGAGCAAACCACCCAACAAGACTTTTGAAGTTAGAATTTTTGGGAGCAAAATTGTGAAATTCCTGAGCAAAACCACCCAACAAGGGGGAAAACAACTCCGAATCCCATTTGAAGTTCGCATTTTGGGAGCAAAATGGTGGGAATTCCCTGTAGCAAGGGTGATTTTTGTTTTGGGAGCCCGATTCCACTCAAAGTGCCTGGCTTAGGACAGATTTGCAGGGAATTTCTGAGGGATCGAAGTACATGCCCCTTGTTCATACCGGTTCCTTGGCGTCGGTTGCTAGGCTCTAGGCGTACTCTTCTCTCCCTTTGAGGGAGAGGCGTATGAGATCAAGCCTGGGGCCATTTACCCAAGGGATACAACCACTCCAACCCGATGGGAGGGGTCCTGCTGGACTTCGTGGCGCTCTGGCGGGTTTCCCTGGGAGGGGTGATGTTTTCAGGTTCGACACCCACTTGCACGACCATGTGAGGGAGAAGCGGCGCCGGTGGGCACAAGCGAAACTCCCAACAAAGAAAATGTATCGTAAAGTTTCAGGCATCCGAACTTCGGAGTCGCAAGCAATCCGGCCATAAGCAGCTGCGAATGCCGTTTAATTCTACTACAGTTTGGGTAGAGCTTTTCAATAGGTGTTTGAGCAAGGTGGTCACAAAAGTGAAAATATGGATGTTCCTTTTGGTTTCCTCTCTTTGGAACCCGGGTAGCAACTCCTCTTGGGGCCAAAGAACTTCTTCAGAGGCCATGCTTTGCGACTGGCGTAAACCTTTGCCCATTGGGGCGGTTCATGGCGTTGCTGCGGTTCATGGTTCATGACCCAAATGTTCGCACGTCAAAGAGCGCTGAGGCGGAGTCAGATCAAGACGATCCTCCGCGTAGGACACTGAAAGGCGGGCTTGGCATTGTTTGGGTTTGGGTGTGTCGAACCCTCCCCCCTTAAGGGGGTCCCCTCATTCTGAGACAAGCTCATTTGGGGGCAGTGCGGAAGACCAGTCAAAAGCTTTGAGCGCATAAAGGGACTCAGAACTGCTCACCCCAAAAGCTCAGTCGGGCTTTTGTGACTTGTGTTCGCTTTCCAGGTTGACCTTTCATTCCAACAGGTCAAATGGGCAACTGTTGGGAGCCAAGCTCCGCCTGGAATCAGAGCTGCCCTTGGTTTTGGGTTTCAGCGTGCTCTTTCATGACGCATCCGAAACTTGGGGGGGGGTTGTGAATTCTGAGCACATCAGAAAAAATGGGTGTGGCTCTGATTTTAGGTTGTATGAGCTTGATCATGCTGGAAAAGGCGTGGTCAAGGCTTGTAGTGCAATGAGAGAAGCTGGCAACACACCAAACTTGTGCGAAGCAAAGCTGAACGGCCCACCTTGCTTTGGGCAAGTGTTCTACAGGTTCTCTTTTGAACCTGGTCTTATGCCATTGGATCGAATAGGGAGGGGGGGCAGTACGGCCGGGCATAGCTCAACTCTTGGGGAACAGGGTCGCTACCCCCAGATGGGTCAAGGCACCATCCCAAACCACCCGGGAAATTTTGGGCTATGCACAATTGTTTTGCACCCACCCTTCGGGGATCAGACCGGCAAAGGAGAGGTGAAAACTTCTGCGCAAAACTAGGCGTCGTCTGGAAGTTTTACACATCACGACTATGGCGAGACAAAGTTTGGTTGTCCTTTCAAACGTCTTTCTATCCACCCTGGAGAGGGAGTAAATGAACCAGCCCTGCATCATGTGGTGGAAGCGAATAGTTTTGACCAATCAAACATTGTGGATTACATTCGCAGCACATACACGCACACACTTGATGGGAGACAGTGAAACCGTGAGGCGCATCCCATTTACAAAAAAGGCAACCTAAAAAGGGAGTTCCTTCCCGATGCTTTCCCATGTGGTGGCTACTCGTCAGAGCCTGCATCACCACCACATTGTACGTATAAAGGGGGCCGGTTCGCCGGTGACACCAAAAAGGGGACCCCTTAGAAACAGGGGGCACACACACACACACACGCATCAGGGTTCCCTATATTTGGAGCTTGTTTTTTGAGGATCCCCTTTATGGGATGGTTCAAAAAAGGATCCCAAAAGAAAACCACCCATTTCTGTCAAAGTGTTCTTTGAACATCTCGTTGCCTCCTCCAAGCCAACTTCAAATTTTGGGATAGGATGTTCCCCCCCCTCAAGAAATCAGCCCAGGCATCCCCAACAGCAAACCACCGGAGTGAGCCGGTCCCACCAGAGGCCACTCCCCGAGAAAACGTGCAAACCGGTTTCTGGGAGCCCAAGCCAAGCTCCATGGACCGAGTGCACCGAGCAGCTCTTGGCTCTTTGGTCACATGGCGTGCCTCGGAGACCTTCTTGTGATAGGTCAGGTTAGACATACCGCCTGAAAAAGAAATTCATTTAGGATCCTTTTGGACAAAGAAGAAGAAAAAAAAGAAGGATGAAAACAAACACCGACCATTCCCGAAATAAATCCGCACCCAAAAGTAAACGGTGGTTGGCTTCCGCTTCCGCAGGCTCGGAGACCTCCAAGTACCAGGGCGCCGCACGCCTGGCGCGGCGCCCAGGAGCTCCACTTCCCGCGGAAGAAGCGGTGGTTTCCTCTCCACAACAGTTGCTCAAAGCCGACTTTTGGACCTTTTGCGTTCTTTTTTTCGTCTATTTTTAGTGGAGGTCCCTGCAGGTCCTTTGGGCAAGTGAGGGAGAGGACCAGGGCCAACTTTTGGGCGCGGCTCAATTTTTTTGAGCCAGGGCCAACAGGACCGCGACAAAAATCTGGCTGTGGTCGAAGCCGTTTTGGGATCCCATTTTGGTGGGGATTGGTGAATTCACCACCCATTTTAGAACCCATTTTAGAACCCATTTTAGTGGGGATGGGGATGTTCACTGGGGCTGCGGGGTTTTGACCCATAGCCATATGGGCGTGCCTCATTTTTTTTCAGAGCTAGGGCCAACCGCAGGTTTGAGTTCTTGTGTTTGTTTTTTGTTTTTCCAAGGTGCCATTTTGTAGCATGTTTTTGACCCACAGCCATATAACCATGGAAAGGGTAGCCGCCCTGATATCCCAAGGGGAGTTTGAGTTTGGGGCTGGAAACCATCTTAGAGAAAGCACCTGGGACCTGGCCGATTCCTAAGCGCGGAAGGTCCCCCCGTTTCGTTTTTCCCCATGGCAGGTCTACCGCAAGGGCCTCAAGTTGTTGCAGAAAGTTTCTGGGGCCAATTCATGCAGGCATGGCGGCTAAGCCATGCCCCAACTCGGCGTTTTTCAACCCGAGGACGCCGCCTTTTTTTCCTGGGATTTTTTGTTTTTTCGGCATGCCAGGTGCTTTGCTTTTACCAACTCCTTTGGTTCGGGGCAACTCGGGAAGAGAGGTGAAACAAAGGGAGGTGCGGAAAGGAACAGGCAAATGGCAGGTGGGAACTACTTATTATGGCTACCCACTCTGTTTCTGATGGCCCCTTCTATTTCTGTAGCCCATCTTGTGAGAACACCAGCCCTCATGAAGTGAGGCTGGAAGCCGAAAACCCCCCGAAAGTGATACCCGGATTCATATCTGAAAGAGGCTCCTAGCGCTGGTGCCTCTTGTCTTACGATGACATCACTTGTGTGGCCCATGTGAAGTGAGTTTCCTCTTTGGGGTGATGTTAGGTTGGAAATGTAGGGAACCCTCCCCAGCCAAGCAGTGCATGAATCCCAGGCTCTAGAGTGGAAACCTCCATTGACTTGTGGGTTTACTCGCAAAAGGTTTGTCTTTTAGTTCAGGGTCTCCAAAAAGTCTCATGTGCTTCTGGCGTCCTTTTAAAACCAACCCCAAAGCAAGGCGTCTGGGACCTAGACACACCACCCAGCACCCACCTCGAAAAGCGTGGATACCACTAAAAAAGAATCAGGATCAGATGAACATGGAACTCATTTGTAGAGAAAGCCGCGGATCAAGCAGAACTCCAGGTTGATTGTTTCATTGGGGGTTCATCACTTGAGGGGAACACCAACTGTTCTGAAAAAGGACAGGAATCCACATAATTCCATCACTCTTGGAGGGGAACACCAACTTTCCTAAAACAGGACAGGGTTCAACACCAACTTTTCTTAGGGCGGTTTCTATTTACATCCGGGGTGCACATTGGAGGAAGCGCCCCGTTTTCCCGGACGCTCCGCTCCGCGCTCCGCGCGCGCGCCTTCGTTGCGCGCGCCCGAGGCCTTCGTGCTTTGCTTCTCGCCCTCCTTGGCCCCCGAGTGGTTCCGCCAGCAACTCGCGAGGCCCGCCGCATGCCGGGCGCGAAACCAAAGGAATACGAGGGGTCCCCCAGCGATTGGTGCCCGACCTCTCACCCGTCTCTTGGTTGGGAGAGGGAGGGTTCCCCTAAAGAAAAGACTGAGAAAAGGGCGTAGCAACTTATTCTAACCTCTCTACTGGAGGACCTAGGGAACCCGTGGCCATGTGTGTGTGCGCGGTTTACACGAACACCTACTTTGGGTGTCAAAATTCAACAGCTGGGGTGACCGCAGGTTTTAGTCTACCTGTCCATTTACCAGGGTTCCTTTTTGGACCCCAATCTTTGTAGACCACCCGTGTTACCCCTGCAAAGGCTGGCTTTAAGCCACGTGAATTGGTTTTTCGTGTTTTCAGGGGAAATACGAAACCGGAGCCCTAGAAGCATGGACCTCCCATTCAGGTGGCCATGGAACCTCACAATGTCTTTCGGTTGTGTTCCTTTAACAACGCTGGGTTCCATATGGCCAGCTCCGCATTTTCCGAGCAACTCGCAAAAAGCCGAACTTGTCCAAAAGGACAAGTAGTCTTCCAAAACTTGGGCATGCCGATGGCGAGGGTTTGGTTCTTGTTTCGGGGAGGGTCACCTTGCCAGTATTGATGGCTGGCAGGGGCGAGCACCAAGGGAGATCTCTTCATCCCCTTAAGATGCGCTTCTTCTTTGTCAAAAAAAAAAAGAGGAGGAGAAAAGAAAAAAAAAAGAGAGAAAGCCACGGGTTTGGGAGGCGTTACGTTCTGGAGACGCAATCTTTTCCTAGGGATCCCAATTTTTCAGGTAGGCGCGTCGCCGGAAAGAAAGGCAAGGTGATCTCTTTGTGTTGCAACGGTTCTCAGTCGCCGGGGGAAAAAAAGGGGGACTGGGCCCAGGGATCTCCTCAAAGGAAAACAGTTGGATGGCAGTTGGATGGTTCAGAGGGCGTTCCGACTTTTCCCTGAGCACCAGCCATCTTTGTGTTGGCGCTGTTTCGGTTCAAAGGAAAACGGCAATGACCACTTAAGCCTTCCACTTCCGGGTACGCCTTGAAAAGCCACCCCTTTGGGGCCAGATACCACCGACGCATGGCTGTGAAAGACAGCTTGGAAGCACATGGCCGGCATTCATGAGTAGGTCCCCCAGCAGTGCCCGTTTACCCGTTTTTGGGGGAGGGTTCCCCGACTAAAAAAGACGACAGAAAAAAGGGTACCCTTATTCTGAAGGACCTAGATGACCGTCCGCGGGCCCATTCTTTCCCCCCGAGTAAGCACCACCGTTTTGAGGGCTCGGCCAATTTTGAGACAGCCGCCCTTGGCGGATTGCTCGTCTTGGACCCAGCCCCTGCCCGCGAAGTGGATGAAGAACTTGCCAATGTTGGTGACTGTTCAACCTGTTTGATCATGTTAACCCCGGATTAGTAAACCTCGGGTTGATTAACACGGGGGTGTCCCCTTTTAGTGGGGATTCATCACTTTTAATGCCCCCCCTTAATAACGGGACGGGTTTATTAATCCTGGGTCAACATTACTGGTATCCCTTTCCAATGACTTCTTAATAGGACAATGATTCCCTGGTATCACAGGAAAATCTCCGACACCTGAAAACTGTTGCAGGGGATTTCTGACTTTCGTTGGAGAAATCCTATGGGGATCGATGCCCCTCGATTTTCCCAATTTGAGTTCCCGAAAGCATGGCGAAGGGTTCTTCCGCTGGGTTCACTTGAATTGTTCTCATGAGAGTCATTACAAGGTGTCATTGCAAGGAATCATCATCATGAAAGTCAATGCAAGGAGTCATTGCAAGGAGTCATTGTCAAGGAGTCATTGCAAGGAGTCATTGCAAGGAGTCATTGCAAGGAGTCATTGCAAGGAGTCATTGCAAGGAGTCATGGCAAGGATTGCAACTTGCACTTGACTCCTTGCACTTGCAACTTGCACTTGACTCCTTGCACTTGCAACTTGCACTTGACTCCATGCACTTGCAACTTGCACTTGACTCCATGCACTTGGCTCCTTGCACTTGGCTCCTTGCACTTGGCTCCTTGCACTTGGCTCCTTGCACTTGCAACTTGCACTTAACTCCGTGCACTTGCGACTTGCACTTGACTCCATGCACTTGGCTCCTTGCAACTTGCAATGGCTCTCATGACTCCTTGCAATGACTCCTTGCAATGACTCCTTGCAATGACTCCTTGCAATGACTCCTTGCAATGACTCCTTGCAATGACTCCTTGCAATGACTCCTTGAAACAAGCAAGGAGTCAAGTGCAAGTTGCAAGTGCAAGGAGTCAAGTGCAATTGACTTGCGAGGAGTTAAAATCTCTTCTTAGGGCGGCGGGGTAGTGCCGACGACTGCTACACGAAAATCGACCCTCTGCGGGGATCGGCGTGGTCGAGGTGCAAAAACCCATGGTTTTTTGCGATTTCTAAAGTTCCCGCGCGACCCTCTGCGGGGATCGGCGTGGTCGAGGTGCAAAAACCCATGGTTTTTTGCGATTTCTGCGGTGCTCGCGCGACCCTCTGCGGGGATCGGCGTGGTCGAGGTGCAAAAACCCATGGTTTTTTGCGATTTCTGGTGCGGTGCTCGCGCAACCCTCTGCGGGAATCGGCGTGGTCGAGGTGCAAAAACTCAAGGTTTTTTGCGACTTTTGTTGTTCGAACTGGTCCTCGGGAGTTGTCTCGTGGTTCGCGCGCCTGCTCCCGGAACCGGCGGGTCGCGGGTTCGATTCCTCCCTGGTCCGCGGGCGGGCGTCGCAAGATGCAACTTGCATTTTACAGCAACTTGCGCAGAGCAACTTGCGCAGAGCAAGTTGCACAGAGCAACTTGCGCAGACCAACTTGCACCGACCAGTTTGCGCAGAGCGCCTTGCCTAGAGCAACTTGCGCAGAGCAACTTACGCAGAGCAACTTGCACAGAGCAACTTGCACAGAGCAGCTTGCACAGAGCAACTTGCAGGGAGCGCAATTTGCACAGAGCAACTTGCAGGGACCAACTTGCCGGAGCAACTTGCGCGGAGCAACTTGCGCAGAGCAACTTGCACAGTGCAACTTGCGTAGAGCAACTTGCGCAGACCAACTTGCACCGACCAGTTTGCGCAGAGCACCTTGCCTGGTGCTGTCTCGCGCTTGCTTCACGAAGTGTAGGGAAAAAGAACGCATCCTGCAGCGTTGGGCCGACCTCGCTTGCCATGTTCTGCTTTCGGGCCAACCGTGGTCTAGTTTTTGGAGGGTAGCGTTGCTCTGGGGAAATCGAATCGAACACCTGGGCAGTTGGGGGGGTCCCGGATCGCCAGTTGCTGTTTTTGTTCCATGCACTTTACCCCAAACACCGATCGCAACAGTGACTGCAAAAAGCGATCGCAACTTGGCGATCTAGGGTCTTCCATCGTCACACACATCTGGCCAGTCTCTGCCAGGAACTTCCAATCGAACACGGCAGTTGGGGGCTCGCCGATTTTTCAAAAGCCCAAACCCATCCCTCCCGACCGGGATCCGACGCATCGACGCATTCGCTCGCAGGTTCTCGTGCCTCAGCTCCATGGGCGTGGTGTGGCTGCAGCCCTGGCGGCACAACGCCTTCCTGGAGGCCACGAGAAACGCGAAGAGTCGGTGGGCTCCGGCGTTTCTTCGGGCCCTGGGAGTAGGATTTGTGGTCTGCCTTTGAGTTTAGTTATTGCAGGAGAAAACTTTTGGTAATTATTTAGGCCCCCCCCCCATTTGGATGGTGTTCAGAGGTGTGTTTCTTTCTTCTTCTTTTCTTTTCCGGGGCAGCCAACTGGCAATCAACCACCTGGGAGGTCACGCCTGATCGCTCAATTCTGGTCCCGACTTGGGGAAACATGCCGTCAGCTCGCAAAAACCATGGTCAATATGTCGCAGCTCCCTATCCCCTCTCCAGTGCCCCCTTTATCCTTTTTTGGGGAGGGGGCCCTGGAAAAAAGTCGTTACAAGGCCATGCGGTCGTGAGAACGGCACATCAATGGCTCTTTGTTCCTTCAACCGGGGGGGGGGGGGGGGCGGGGGCAAAATGCAAAATGGGCGGGTGTCGTATGACGCGATCTTCTTGCTATGCTGAACTTGTCCCAAAGTAGGAGCCTGCCATTTCTGACCCGCTTGCCGCTTGCACTCTCCCCACACATGATCTATTTTCCATTCACCCCCCCGGGAGCGTACTCCCCACAACTCAAAACGTGTCCACCACAGTGTAAGCAAATATGTTTTGGACGGACACTAATCCTGCGCCAGTCGGTTTTCTATGTACTCCGGTATTGCGGGCTCAATCTCAACTGGTTTTGGTCCATACTCACGTCTGATCTTCCCAAACTCCGAGCCCTCCGCCTCTCAATCAATGAGCCTCTTGGGACCATTTGGTTTCGCCAGGGCCAAAGTACCAACTTCTGCCAAGCAACATTTCGTTGGAACCCGGTTTTTTCGCCCTGTTGTTTTTTGTTTATCGCGTTGTGGAAAGGAGCTCGATGTGCTAGGCCGGAGGGTTTCTGCGCAATTGGCAAAATGCCCATTCTACTCTCTTGTGGATCCTGCACCTCTTGTGGACCCCATGGTTTTTCCCCACGTAAATGATGCCGGGGCATCCTGGGCCAAACAACCTAAATGGAGGTGGATTCGAAATCTGCTCTCCACTCGTTCCCCCCCCAGTCCCGAAATCGGGTGGTTTCGCCGTCTCCACCGCGGCTTCCTCGAATCGGATCGGAGGTGGGCACGGCGGTCCTGAGCTACGCAGGCGCGCGGTTCTTCCATCGCCGGCTTGTTTGAGCGTTGGCACCCCGTGGTGGTGGGCTTTTAAAGGGAAGCCAACAGGACACCAACCATTTTTCGGGTCCCCTTTAAAAAACAAAACACCGTGGCTCGTCGCTTTTTAACCATCGGGGACCCGAAATGACCGGCGTGGGCGTCCCGCCTGGGGGACACCAACAGGTGTGTCGTTTGTGGGCACCCCGACATGCATGTCGAAGTCCTTTTTGGTGCCCCTAAACCAACCAAAAAAGGAACCAGAAGAAGATGGGAGGTTTTGATGAGGTGACAAACCCGACTGGACCCTTAACTTAAAGCTGATTCAGGCAATAGGTTTTTAAGGGGAGGTTGTCTCATGTTCGCTCAGCGGAAATACACTAGGTTGGTTTAAAGAGAAAGGTTGTCTGAACAATAGTGGATCCTTGAGCGTGTTGGTCTCTTGAAGAAAACTCCCAAATGATTGTTGCAGCCTTGCCTCCAATTCGTCATTTGAGAAACCAAAGGAGCGCCATTCCCATCTAATACAGCATCGACTCCTGCATTTTTGAACACAATGCCCAAACTTGGTTTCCATACGCGTGCTGTGATTCGAAATTATTGTTCTGCGGTTTAAACGGCAATTGCATATAGTAGTCAGCACATTCAACTCCCCGTGAACATCAACCAGAGTTTCTACCAAACCTTCGGCGGCCAAAAACCACCGGTGGTTTAAGACATTTGTTTGGTAGGGCTTTTATCGGGCCTCAAACGAGTATGTGTCAGGCAAAATTATCCTTTCAAGTCCTAATTGGAAAAATATGCATGGTATTTTTGTTTGGAGGTGTTCAAGAAAACAACAAAAAAGCACCACGGATTTTCGGGGGTCCAACCTTAAACCAGGCGAGCCAGATGCGTCAGGCCCCAACAAAAACAGGGGGATTTGGGGATTTGAACCCCAATTTCCGCACACCACAACTAAGTTTCCTCAGCCTCAGAAACAAAACTGGGAAAAGATGTCAGGTTTGGACAGCGCCTCCTTGGACTATGACGCAAAGGCCGGGCCCTTGCTTCGGGATTTCTTCTTGTCTCAGTTGCCCAAAGCCGACCTTTTGACCTTTTGGTTTCTCCTTTTTGGTCTAGTTTTAGTCATGACCCCAAAAGGTTAACCTCTTGTTTCTGCGTCCTTTGGGCAAGTGAGTTGTGGCTTGAAGGGAATCGAATCACTGGAAAGGTGTTCTCATGTTCTAGGGGACTTGAGCGAATGGAAGATCACTTCTGGAAAGGTGTTCTCATGTTTCTAGGGGACAGCGAAAGGAAATGTTTGATCTCGTTTGACCTTATCAAACACGTTTGGAAACTCTCAAAATACAGGTTCCTGAGATGGTTGGCGTATTTGCCCTTGCCAAGAAGAGGGTCCGCCAGTTTGAGAGACACACATTTCAAGTTTCTCCATGGGCTTGGCGGCAACGGCTGAGGAGCAAGGCTTCACTGAGTTTCTCCTGCCACTCCACAGGGAAGCCCCAATATAAAAAGGAAAATGCCTCTATGTCTGTCAAACACCCCTGAATTGTGGAAACCCCCTTAAGAGGTTTAAAAAGGATTTGAAATGGCATGGCCCCAAAGGGATCGGGAAAGTTTCATAGAACCCATCTGGAAACATTTTGGATCCAATCGCTAATACATTTGGCGCTAGCACGTCCCATGTTATTGTTTATTTCATTTACCTAGTTCCTTTTTCTGTGAAGGGGGGGCTTCTATTGCCACGGAACCCATGGATCGACGCAGAAAGTCCCAACTTACACGAATGATTGAAATGTCCCCAAGCCAAAAGGGTGAATTGGGAGCTGGTTTCGATTTGATTCCATACTTACTGTCTCCAAAAAGATGATCCTGGACTCTATTCCCAACCATATATGGCTGTGGGTCAAAAATATGTACCCCAAATGGGCCAAAGGACCCCCTTCAATTAGATCATTTCCTTGGGGAACCTCTGATTCTAGTTTGTCCATGAGTTTGGCTCACTCCCCGAGTTCCTGGACTAGAAGCTTTACTCAAGTTTCCGGCCAGGCACGTCTCAAAACCCTCCGACCGGTTCCGAGCAAACTAGAGGCGAAGGAAAGGTCGAAGTCCATGCGCGGTGTTTGCGCCCAAAGAAAAACGGTCGCAGATTCCTTGCGGTTTTTTCTGAAACCCCAGGGTTTGATGGTCCCTGGGGTTCTCGATGGCATCTGAAAACTGACCAGGTGTTTGTGGCAATTCCCCAGATTCACAAGAACCCCGGAGGAATCTGACTGAAGAATCCAGGGCTCCTTAACAGAAACTCATGTCGCAACCATTTGAAACATGGGAGGCTTTTTCCACACCAAAATCAAGTTGGACACCACCACTTACAAGTTGCAATGCATCCGGATCCCTGGAGTCGGCCTGGTCTTGGCGACATAGCACCTTCATGGGAATCTGACGTTCCCAGCGGCCATCCGGACTGGCGGGTTGGCGCCGCGCGGAAAAATGTTGCGAGACCTGAACCTCACAAGTTTGCAAAGCCCAGTAAAACCCTATTGTCTTCTCAGAATTTCTGAAATTTCTCAAAGCTGCTGGTTGGAATTCGGACTACCCGCCCCTGCAACTACCTCCGGTGAGACCCCCCCCCCCGATTAAGAATGATTGACTTCTTGAATCTTGAAAACAATCCTTGAAATGTTGTACCCAAACCTCAATCTGAACCCCCCCCCCCCCTTACTCCCTATTTGATGTCTTCCCCCCCCCTCTCAAACCATGTTTGTCGGTCTTGATCTTTCCGGAAAAAACTGATCGGCTCGCGGTCAGGAGCAGCGGATCGCGTCCATGTCGAGTGCCGCCGGGGGTCTAGGGGGAGCGCCTCCAAGCCGAAATCACCAGGAATCGGACCCGCCTCCAAAAAAAACAAGAACGGGGGGGAGGGGGGCGCGGAAACCAAAGAAGAAGAAGAAAGAACGGGGAAAAAACACAATGATTAATTATGTGTTGCCCCCTAACACCTCCAAGAAAGGGGTTCCAACTCCAAAAAAGGTTCAGGGAGACTAAGTATGAAACAGAGCCTGAACACACGATTTTCTGTGTACCCCCGTTTTGTGGGCCGAGGCTCGGTCAAGATCAGCAATCTATGGTTCATTTAGGATTTGGGACATGCATCGGGGGAGGGGGGACGAGCTCTAAATCACTACATCAACCATGGCTCACTATAGTTTTAGTAACTATAAACCCCACTAGAGTTTCCCCTTGGCGGGTTTTGAACACGAGCAAACGACAAAGCAACGTCGTCTACTCTTGGTTCGGGTCGGACGGGGACACGACGCCATGCTTTGCACGGGTTTAGACTATCGGAATCCTAAGCTCCCGTGGCCGGTGGGTCACATCTCGCGCTTTGTTGGTCACCCGAAAAGCCCCCAAAAGTGCTCAGGATGGTTTCACCCATTGGACCACAGGTGTCCTTTTTGGTTGTCTTGGCGTAGAAAAATCTTGAGGGGGTTCGATTCCTTTGTTTCCCCGGGTGGTGTATTCTCTACCAGGGAAACCCGACTCGATTTCCCCAAGGACACCTCTGGCTTGGACCATGGGAAGGCCGCCCCTGGAAACGAAGCCCATGGAGCCGGAGTCGGCAGACGGTCGAAGCCCCCGATGCTCAAGGAGTCCGAGGTCTAGAGGAAGCACCTCGTTGATGTAAAGTTTCCGGTGCCCCTGGCGGTTCTTGCCAGTTTCCAGCTGAGGTTCCTTTTGGGGGTGATGTTTCAAGGCGAAGTCTGGGGAAAGCTGGGTCTTCTGTTCGTGAGCAGAAGGGTTTGAAGGATGCATACTCCTTCAAGGCCTACTCTGTAAAGGCAGTTTGTTGGACTAAGGGTGCCCAATTGAGTTTCTTGGTGAAAAACCGGGTTGCCCGGGCCGAAGGCATGGGGGCCCAAAGAAAATCTGTAGAAGCATGCGCTGGGGGGAGGTCTCAAAAAGTCTCAACTCGGATAGATGGAACCACCAGAAGAAAAAAAAAAGGAGAAAAAAAAAGGAAAAAAAAACGGTCATGAATTCTCAAGTTTGGGCAATGAACCACCATTTTTTGAAGGGTCATGGAGAGTCTAGGTATGGACATCGCTGGGAGGGGCGGCTTAGCACTAAGGCTGCGGAGATGATGGAGATGCAGCGAGCAGGCTGGCAAAGCAATGCAGATGGAGATGGGTATCCTCCATTTGCTTAAGATTTTTAGTTATTTATTTCCCCTTGTTGGTCTTAAAAGGAATGCATCACTACTGGAAATATGTCTGGTTTTTCCTGGGGCCTGAACCAAATGCAAGGTATTTCTTTGGACATTTGCCGACATCATTTGCTGCTTGGGTTCAACTGGGTTTCCTGTGATCGTCAATAATGTCCATTTCGGGCGAGAGAGCAATTCCTTGAGTTGAGTTGCCAAAGGAAGCTTCGAGTTCCACTAAGGGTTCCGAATCCTTTCGGGCGGGTCTTGTCTACGGGAAATCTGGGGGCTCCATAGCCAAGTCCATCTTTCCGGAGACCCTGGCACTACGAATCTTTGTATCTGTCCTGGTTTGGGGCTTCAAATGGACAGTTGGATACATGGCACACCAAGGAAGAGCCAAAGAGCCTCAATGGCAAACATGGCCAACCAACGAAATCCAAGGACACCAAGCAAAGATCAAGGCGCCATGGAAGAAAAGTCAATCGCTGGCAGGGGGAAGGTACGGGAAAGGAGCCATGGAGAGAAGTCTCGCCAGGAGCTCAGACCCCGGGCGGCGGCGCGCATTTCATCTCCGCCGCCGCGGCCTGAGGTCGTCGGTTGGTTTCAGCGCTGCGTGGCTTGAAGCTGGTCGCCCTCCACTAGGTCCCCGGCAAATGGTGCCCTTTCTCACCAACTTTTTGGGGGAGGGTTACTTTTTTGGGTGGGGGCTACTTTTTTAGGTGGGGGGGGTACTTGTTTGGGCGGGGGTTACTTTTTTGGGTGGGGGTTGCTTTTTTCGGTGGGGGTTACTTTTTGGGGTGGGGGTTACGGGGTTACTTTTTTGGGAGGGGGGTACGGGGTTACTTTTTGGGGTGGGGGTTACTTTTTTGGGTGGGGTTACATTTTTGGGTGGGGGTTACTTTTTTGGGTGGGGGCTACTTTTTTAGGTGGGGGGGTACTTGTTTGGGCGGGGGTTACTTTTTTGGGTGGGGGTTGCTTTTTTTCGGTGGGGGTTACTTTTTGGGGTGGGGGTTACGGGGTTACTTTTTTGGGAGGGGGGTACGGGGTTACTTTTTTGGGTGGGGGTTACTTTTTTGGGTGGGGTTACATTTTTGGGTGGGTTGCTTTTTTGGGTGGGGGCTACTTTTTTAGGTGGGGGGGTACTTGTTTGGGCGGGGGTTACTTTTTTGGGTGGGGATTGCTTTTTTTCGGTGGGGGTTACTTTTTGGGGTGGGGGTTACGGGGTTACTTTTTTGGGAGGGGGGTACGGGGTTACTTTTTGGGGTGGGGGTTACTTTTTTGGGTGGGGTTACATTTTTGGGTGGGGGTTGCTTTTTTGGGTGGGGGTTACTTTTTTGGGTGGGGGGGTACTTGTTTGGGCGGGGGGTACTTTTTTGGGTGGGGGTTGCTTTTTTGGGTGGGGGTTGCTTTTTTGGGTGGGGGTTACTTTTTGGGGTGGGGGTTACTTTTTGGGGTTGGGGTTACGGGGTTACTTTTTTGGGAGGGGGGTACGGGGTTACTTTGTTGGGTGGGGGTTACTTTTTTGGGGTGGGGGTTACTTGTTTGGGCGGGGGGTACTTGTTTGGGTGGGCGTTGCTTTTTTGGGTGGGGGTTACTTTTTTGGGTGGAGGTTACTTTTTTGGGTGGGGGTTACTTTTTGGGGTGGGGGTTACGGGGTTACTTTTTTGGGAGGGGGTTACGGGGTTACTTTTTTGGGTGGGGGTTACATTTTTGGGTGGGGGTTGCTTTTTGGGGTGGGGGTTACTTTTTTGGGTGGGGGTTGCGGGGTTACTGTTTTGGGTGGGGGGTTACTTTTTTGGGTGGGGGGTACGGGGTTACTTTTTTGGGTGGGGGTTACTTTTTTGGGTGGGGGTTCCCCTACGAGAATAGACAAAACCGAAAAATGTTGGTACCCTTCTTCTAACCTCGCTACTGAAAACCTAGTCCACGTTGCCGGCCAGTTGTGTGGTGCTGCGATCCGGCCATCCGGCATGGATGGAACGCATTCTTTGTGAGCGAATACCGCATTGCGCGAATCGCCCTGCGCGCCATACACGATGGTCACCCTTGCCTCTTCGACTGAGAACTTCCCTGCTTGTGGGCTAAGTTTCGGGAAATTCATTTTGCCCTGTAACCCGTTTTGGTCGCTTTTTTTCCGGTGCTTCCAATTGTGCTTGCAGTCGCGGTCACAGTTAGGGTACCCAACTTGGGTCAATAGAACCACCATTGCTTCAGGAAATATGATCATCCAAGCGTGGTTCAGCAACGACTGGTGGAACCCCTGGGCTGAGTCGACCCCACATTAATAGGCCCGTCCAATTCATTCAAACCCCTGTTAAGAAACGACGAGTTCTACTTAGCTCCGGGGGCAAAATGAAGCCGAAGGTCCCGACCCCATCGCAGGAGGTGCCGCAAGGGCCATGACCCCTCCAATGCACACCTTCTGGGCCCTCCAATGCAGAACCCCGACCTCAAGGACCCTCAAAAACAGCCCATTTTTTGTCGGAGCGACGAGTCTTCGAGGTCACGACGGTGAGAGAGATGCTAAGTGCCAAGGAGGCGGAGAGCTTTCGCGGGCCTTGCTTCCGGGGGCTGTCACTTGGGAAGCCCAGGGGCCCTTTCTCTGCCCATACCCTTTTGCCTCGTTGTGGGAAGAGGTTCCCCTTTAAACTCAACCAACAAAATAGTTTTGGGCCAAAAGACTTATATACTTGACTTGTGCTCAAACAGAGAACAATCGGTGTCTGAAGGGAACAAAGGCCAAGCAAGAAGTTATGTTCAACCCCAATGCAATAAGGGCACCCATTTTGGGGCGTACGCTTGCTTGCTTGCTTGCTTGCTTGCGTTGCTTGCTTGCTTGCTTGCTTGCTTGCTTGCTTGCTTGCTTGCTTGCTTGCTTGCTTGCTTGCTTGCTTGCTTGCTTGCTTGCTTGCTTGCTTGCTTGCTTGCTTGCTTGCTTGCTTGCTTGCTTGCTTGCTTGCTTGCTTGCTTGCTTGCTTGCTTGCTTGCTTGCTTGCTTGCTTGCTTGCTTGCTTGCTTGCTTGCTTGCTTGCTTGCTTGCTTGCTTGCTTGCTTGCTTGCTTGCTTGCTTGCTTGCTTGCTTGCTTGCTTGCTTGCTTGCTTGCTTGCTTGCTTGCTTGCTTGCTTGCTTGCTTGCTTGCTTGCTTGCTTGCTTGCTTTGTAGCTTCCTTGGTTGGTAGCGTCCTTTGGTGGTGCCCCTCTGGTTGCACAGGCGGAGCTGAACAAGGAGAGCAAGAGCCTGGACCGCGTCGCAGATGCCCTGGCGCTCCGCTCAGATCCAATGCATCACGGGCCAACTGAAGCGTGATATGGCTAGCTCGTCTTTTTTAGGGTCCTCCCCGTCAAAAAAAAGCTAAGAAAAGAAACCAGCATAAATTGATGATGTTCCTTGTGGTGTTCCTTCAAAAACCGGCAAAAAAAGCGGTCCCATCAAAAAAGACAGGCCCATGTCATGTCATTTGGGTGGGGGATATTTGCGTCCCACCACTTTGTTCTTGAGGGATTCCTATGAGGATTGACCCAACAAGACTGCGGGGGATGGCCATTTTGGGGGACCCACTGAATGGGTAACAAAAAGCAGGAGTGTGCTTTGCGGGCGATTGGAACCCGTTTATTAGAACCAATCAAACAGGTCCCTTGGTGAAAGGGGCCAACTGATGATGAACGTGTTGATCGTATGATGACAAAAATTACTCTAAAGTACCATCGCCACAACCCCATTCTAATGTTTGCGTGTGTTTTTGCTTTTCTACATTGTATTCCTTCATTCTCCCTGTCAACCAGAAGTACAAAGGGCGGGGGGATGGTTTAGAATGGGACAACCCCTTTCACCCTGACCCCCTCCAAACCAATCCGAATTAAGAACAGTTGGGAAGCTGATCACAAATTGTGCGAACTTTCGGGGGTTTCAGGGTGTTTGATCGAAACCACTTTCCGACCTGGTCTAGTTTCAGGTAACCCCTCATTGGGTCGGGTTGGTGGGATTTGAGCCCCTGGTTCTTGCGGGTTGGGAAGCTTCCCGTGTTTATGGGAAGCTGATAAAGGTAAACTTTTGCACAAAAAGTGTGCGGTCACAAAAAAAGTTTGCCAAATACAAAGGAATGCTTGACGAGAGAGCCAAGGAAGCTCAAGGAACCAGCGATCACTGGCTGTTGGCGCTGAAGTTTTTGTCCTGCTGTGGATCGTGCCGTTTCTTTGGCCGTTTCTTTTTTGGTTGCGAGGGTTCCCCTACTGAAATAGACTACAGCAAAAAGGGTACCAACTTATTCTAACCTCTCTACTGGAG